TCCAAGAATAGAAATGATAATTAATTTAACACTTCAAAATATACTCATGTGCATGAAAATAACTGTAACTGATGCAAAATGGGAGAAAACATGGTCTTTGTAAAAGCAGTGTTTGTTCTTTAGTTATGAATGTTTAAATCAAATCTGGATTTTATGTACTATATGCTATTATTATTAAATTTAAATGAAATACATGTATATGCTTAGAGCAAATATTCACTTATTTTTAATGTGTCAAACAATTTATGGATATTAAGAGTTCTGCAGAAAATTCAACTCTTTGAAACCATCCATGCAAATGGGAAACAAAGAAATTTCAGCAAGTACTTCTGTAATGACAGGAAATAATAATAGGCATTATCTAACTATTAAGTAACGATAAGACTTATTCTAGAATTAAAATTATTTAATTTCCTGAATGCTTTAATATAAGTCTGGCTACACTCTTCTGTGTGAAAGACCACAAGCCCTTTGCCTGACACACAAACTTTTAAGCCTCCTTATTTTGCAATAAATAGTTAAAAATTAAAAAATGGGCTGTAACTTTAGCACTCATTTTTCATAATTATTATAAGACCAGTATATTCATCTTTTTGATTAGCAGCAAGTTCACTCCTATTTCTTTGTTTTTGAATGTTGAAAAATTAAAATATCTAATTATTGGTAGCTCTTTTGATATTGGAATGTGTGAAAGTTTAATTTGTATACAGCTTTACATACTGAAACTTAATATGCAAGTACTCTTATTAACCAGAAAAAAAAAAAAAAAAGTGTCCACATTTTTAAGTGACTATAGTGTTTTTTAATCTTAATCAATGAAAATCAATTGATATCATGGATGATGAAATAAAGAATGAAAATATATTTTATTTAAGAAGAAATTGGGATAATGTATTAGTCAATGTCTTGTAAGAAACACTACTTATATTATGCTTCATAGATATGACTAATTCCTAATATGTGGAGTAATTTTCAGTAAAAAATAATTCAACAATGGATAATTTTTTTTCCCAGACTTTATTCAGAATACATAATAATTATTTTACAAAGTTTTTATTCATCTTTTATTTCTGAAAATAAAGACATATCAGATAAAATTCCTTGAATAGAGTATAAATATTATTATTCAACCATATTACTCAAAAATTTATGAGTTTCAGTTTCAGAAAATTCTCCTGGCAGAGCTTGCTCTTGACTTTTAAATACATACCAGATTCCTGCCAATCGTTTACTGAAAAATAAAGAAGACTAAATTCAATTGTGAAACAGCCAAGATCACTGAAAACAATGCACTATTCATTTTGCAAACATAAGCCTGAAATATTAAAAATGATCAGATTGAGATCAGATATGAGATTATTTATGAACAGAAAAATTTGCAGTACTTGCATACTATCCCATTGGCCATGAAAATTGGTGCAGAACCACTAATCATTCCTGAGGAAATCCTTCACAGTCAATGGGATGAAGTGTTAAGTACAAATTCTCTGATTCCTCTTTAAAAATAAGAGAAAATTTTGGCATGTAGGTCCCCGAGAATGCATTGTTAACATAAAATGAACTATTCTCTATTATCCACAATTGGGGGTATCACCCTGGCCAAAAGGGTTCATTGTTGCCTACTTTAACAATTTTCTCTTATATTACCAAGTTACATACAAACATAAGCATTTTTATTTGTTTATTGGCCATATAACATCATTACAAAATAATGCAAACTAAAAAAAAAAAAAAGTGTTTTTATAGAAACTGTATGGCAACAGATGAATTGCAAAATATTTGTCCATTATACTTTATATTTTTCAAGCATCACCAAAGGAATGGAATGCTGTCCTGAAAAACATTTCTTAATTTAAATTTCTTTAAATATATCAATCACTTAAAATTATATGCTTGTATATCAATTTCCGGAATTCAGTTATATTAACTGGCGTATTTAAACTTTGATTTTTAATCCTCTGATAAGCATAGTAGCATACTAAAACACCACAGCTCATATTATCAGTTTGCAAAATATGTGAAGGACAAATTATTTTCCATTTAGTGCTAGTAGCAAATATTTTAGCTAAAACCTCACACCATGTATGAACACCATGTATGAATTAAAATTTGATACTCTTGCCCACATGATTTATTTTGTGGATCATAAAATTCAAAAAAACCATATCTGGAATATTTACTATTATTAATATCCAATGACAATTTAAATTTGCAGGGATAAAAAATAATTTCGCTGATTTCAATCTTGTTAGTAATGGATCTTTAATACAAAAATTTGGTTTAGGAATTTGTAAATTAGACTTAACAAAGGCAAAATCTTCATAACTGTTTAATATTTTAAATAAAAAAGCATCAATTATAGTATTATAGAGCCATCCTTTTCGAAAACATGAAGATACAGATTTAAACAAGTGTTCTTCTTCATTACTTATAAAAGGATCTATAGATTTTAACATATATGGTGTAATTTCAATATCATGTATTTTTAAACATGATTTGGTCAAATCTTTATTCATTCTAACATTTACTGAAAAGTTTTGCTCTGCTGAATGATAAATTTATCTTTTCCTGTGTACAAGGTGGAACATTCTCAGTTAAAATATTATAAATAAATTTTCTAAATTGAAGGGTATCTAAAGGAAGATTTAAGGCTAATTTATTTACATGTTGAAATGCATAATAACAGATGAAGACCCCACAACTGCTTTCATCATTTTGTAAAGCATGCGGTGGACACTGAATATCCCATGAACCGTTAATTTGTAACTCACTGTTAATTACATTAGACCATTTATTAGTTAAGTTTATGTATTTTGGATTGCATGAATTTATTAACGAGTCATATAAATAAAAGGTATTTTTCTTTAAATCTGCTATGATCAGAACCCAATGAGAATCAATGCAAGCAGGAATCAATAAATATTTGAAAGATTTCAAAGAAACAGGAAAAACATTTCCAAGTGATAATGCATCAGATAAGATAAGCTGGGTAATCGAGGAATCAGCAAAAGTATATTGATCATCACTTTCTAAAATTTTGTATAAAAATGCATTTATGATTACATCAAATAACCACCCCCTAACAAAATCTGTACAAACCGATTTTATAAAAAATTCTTCACTTCACTTTACTGATATAAGAATCTAAAGACTTTAAAGCAATACGATTGATACTATAGCAGCCAATTTGTAAAATTCTTTCAGAAATATCTTCGCTAGACTTTTAATGGAAGGGAAAATGATTTATTTTGATCAACACTGGTTAAATCACATAGATATTTATCACTGTCATTTAAATCAAATGCTACGGCTTTAAATTTAATTAATTTTCTTTTCCACACATTCATTTATTTCTGGGTCATCTACATTATCATTAAAATCTTGATTCTTATTCTGCTGACATTTCTGTAATTTTCTCTTTTTAGAAGTTTTAAACAATTGTGGGTTAAGTTTTTGATTTGGTGCAACTGGACATGATGCACTTGAAACTGCTCTTGAATTTTCATTCGAGTTTAAAATTCCTCTACATTCTGAAACTAATGAATTTAATGTTGTATGAACACACTTTAACATGACATTTTGGACTTTTGGTTGTCTTATTAATTGCAGTAATTCTTCTACAAGCTTTTCACATGCATTTACTCTCTGTTCAATACTTTGTGGATTGTAATGATTAACAGAATACACATTTATTGATTTCATACTTTCATTGCATTTCTGATTCGATTCAAGATTAATCCCCGAGGGATTAAACACCACAATCATTTTGTCTATTAAGGAATGAATGCACTTTATGTATATGTTTGCACAGCAATTTATCTAAGCAATTGCAGTGATACAAGTGACTACACAATGAGACACATGATACTTTAGGGCATCTATAAAAGCAAAAATCCTGACACGGACAAATTTCAAAAAGACGCTGCACAGTATATATTTTATTTTTTGTCTGGAGAACAAACAGTCCAAGAAGTATCAGAGCATTTATTTACATCACTGTCCCTAATTTTTAGTCCTCTCTGATGCCTACTTAAACAAGAAATGGAATTTCTGGGAGATACATTAGTGTATAATTTATAGGTATGATTTAAATATTTATCTTTCTCAATTGTCAGAAGTGTAGAAATTAAAATATCTAATCGTCTATTATGTCTCCGCTTAAAATAAACAGTTTTCAACTGATTGTGAAAAGATTCACAGTACATGTTAGTATCAGTAAATGCATGTGGAAAGTTCCGATAACACAAAGCCCATTCCTCTAATCTATTTTTATAATTTTCAGAAAAATATTCAATAAAATCTCTACTTTTCCTAGAATAGTCATTCAAAAACTTACTTATTTGATCATGAAAAGTGATCTGGTTTCTTTCATGTAATATTTTTGTTAATTCTCCTAGCATTTTTTGTCGCACTTCCTTATCTACCACTTTAGAATTTAGTTGCCGGAACCAACTTTGGCGTATGTGACACGAACATAAAAGATGCTTAACATCTTGACCAAAAACCTTTGAAAATGCAGGATATGTAACTTTGTCATCATCTGTCATTACACAGTTTACATATAAATTTGGTACACGACACTTTAAACTATTAAATAAACAATAAAGAGTGTCAGCATCTAGAAAATTAGTAATAAAATGAGCAACTGGATAGCCACAACCAAATTCATCAGGTACTATAAGATTAAGAAGGTAAAAATCATACTGGTTAGTCTTATGTGTAGATTCGATACATAAAATCTCTGTACAACCTTTTATCATCATTTCTTTCTGTTCACGCGTCTGAAGACCAAGAGCAAACGATACTTTATGATTTGGAAGATTATCTAGATCAGTTGGACCGTACAAAGTTGAATTATTCTGAGGCTTATATAATAACACAGGATTGTATGCTTCACATTTTAAAGTTTCAATGATTGAATTAACAGAAACTGCATCACTACTTGGACGCAATGAATTGTTTAAATATCTAGAATAAGCAGAAATAGTTTTACGGGAGACAAAGCTTTCCTTTACAGGGAAATTATTTCTATTCTCGCGATTTCCTGATCCATCTTGTAAGATATCCCTTATTTTTTGTGGAGGCACAGATAAACGTAAATTTGCTTTTATCAAACACCGCGTACTTTGTTTCAATGGCTGATATTTACAATTTTCAAACTTTTGCTCATGATTATGTTTAGGAAAGTAAAAAACAGAGATTTTATTCATTTCTTCACAAGCCCATATTCTGACCGGACAACATACACTTTTTGAAACTGTACCTTTTTCATTTTTCCGACTAGTTTTTTTTTCAAAATCAGAATAACCTTGCGTGGTAAACTGACAACAATAATAATGATAAGTTTTAGAATTTTTCGTTACTTTAGAAAACTTTCTGAATGAAGTAAATGTCGAGGTTCCTTCCAGTTCTAGCCAATCTTGAAAATAACTCATTGTTTCAAATGAATATTCTTTTAAGTTATTTAAATTATGTTCATCTGCTAAATGCTTATTAAAATTTAAAACATATGTAAAAGACTTATGGCAATCAGGTATGAAGCATACATACAATTTATTAACTTCTGTGCAAAATTTCTTATGTTTAAAAAAATGATAATTTGCAAGGATAACATTTATTACAATTTAGACATTTCCGAGGGTAAACAGATGAAAAATTTTGTTTTAAATCAGGTACTTGTTTATTTGAACTTTTTTTTTTTTTTTTTTTGTGGTTATAAAATGAATTCTTCGATTTATAAGTTTTCAAGCATATTTCACATTTACGAAGATAAGCCATTTCTATTTTATCACTAATACATTCTTTGGTTTCTAATTTTTTAGCACTCAATACATTATCAATGTTTATAAGAATATTACTCTGAGGAGAAGTTATTGAAAGTTTAAAATTTTCAGTTTCATTTCAAGTTTTTCTTTGCAATTTTTTTTTATGATTATTAAAAGAATTTTTAGTTTTATAGTTTTTTTTTACAAATATCACATTTTCTAGGATAAAGCGATGGTGCATTACAGTCAATTTCGGACCCCCCTCCAGTCAGAATAGGACACATAGACTTATTTTTCCTCACTTGACAATTAATTTCACTGCTTTCTACATGATCTTTTAGTAAACAAAATTTATTAAAGTGAAAGAAACTTAGGCCTGAACTACAAGAAGTGCTTTTTCTGGTCATAGAAATGTTCTTTTGCTGCAAAACATAACTAGAGGCAAAGTCAGAGTAAAAATCATCTTTTGTTGTACACAATTTAGGTTGTGAAATATCAAAATTTGTTGAATCATTTTTTAAACTCCCTTTGCCACTAACAGAAGCACAATACAATGGATAACAATCACTGAAAGAAACAGCACTTGCCTGCTGTACACTACAACCAGCAGCAGTGACTGCATTCTTTAGTGATGATCCCATGTAGGCCATTACACTTCTTAGGCTTAGGCGCAAAACAGCTGAAGCAGCATTCTTCAGATGCAAACTGCCACTAACAGTCAAATCCCTCCTTGGACACAAACCATCACCAAAAGCACGAATTGGTTTCTTCTGAAAACTAGCAATTGGGACAGTAGTGTTCGTAGAAGAATTAACAGTGGAACTAGCACTGCTCCTCAGAAAACGGCCAGAACCATGGACTGCAACACGCCTGGAGGAGTCAACATCAGCAAGGATATCATTTCTATGACAGGGGCTGGGAGTGACGTTATTCCTTGAATGCAAACCAGAAGCAGCATTCTTCGGATGACAGCCAGTACCACGGACACCAACAAGTCTAGAATGACAGCCAACACCGGGAATGACAACATTCTCAGGACTTAGGCCAGGGGTAGCAACGTTCCTTGGACGCAAATCAGAACCAGAACGAGGGACGGCAGCATTCCTTGGACGTGAACTAAAACCATTGACATACTTAAAATGAGAGCCAACACTACATATGGCAACATTTCTAGGATGACATCTAGGTTTAGTCCCATTCCTTACATGCAAACCAGAACCAGTTCTATGGACAGAAGCGTTCCTTGGGCGAGATCCACCACCATGGCCAGCAATGCAAAGAGACCGAGAGCTAGCATCTGGGTTGGCAACGTTTTTCGGATGTGAGCCAGGGGTGGTATCATTTTGCAGATGCAAACTAAAACCATCTGTGTGGTTAACAGCATTCTTTGAATGAGAGTCACCACCATGGACAACACATTTAAAACGAGATCCAGCACCAGAAATAGCAACCCTCTTCAGCCGAGAGCCAGAAGCAACTTTAGCAGCATTTCTCAAATCAGAATTAGCCTTCTTAGTAGCATCTACAGCACAACCATGCTTTAAAAACAGTTGAATAGAGAGGATAAGAAGGGCTTGCAGAAACAAAAGAATCACTCAGAGGTGGAAAATCCAATGTAGTAAATGAAACACAAGGCAATACAAAAGGACTTACCTTTGTAGAAACTGGCTTTGAAGTCAAAACAATCTTGATATTATCCAGGAAAACTGCCGCAAGTTTCTTGTTCCCCAGACGGTTTAGATGTAATCCATCCCTAGCCAATAACTTAGCTCCAAAATGATGAGACGACCTGCAAATAAAAAACGCTTCTCGATTTTGGCAGTACTTTTCAAGTTGAGAATTAATTTCTACAATCTTTCTATTAATTACCTGTAAACGGTTCAAAGCTGCTACTCGCTGATTTAAAGTTGTGAAAAAATCTTCACCACGTGGTAGGATATCTGAAATGATAACATTGATATTCGGGTTCAAACGTTTAATATCCTTAAAGAGGCAATCGTACTTTTTAAGAATATCTTCAACACTGTCATTCGAATTGTTGGTACCAACATGTACCAAAATCAAATGGTATCGATTGTCCAAAAAGGATATCTTACGTCTTAACCTTTCTATCGTTGCACCAGGAAAAGAATGTAAATCTACTTCATAATTCAGAAGATTCGCCGGTAAATATTCATCCAAATATTTAACCATTGAATCTCCAATTATAAGTAATTTCATCTTTTTTGGTTGCATATCGGCAAACAAAACAAACAACTACAAATCGAAACACAGATCAATAATTATATATGCTGTAAATAAAATGCAACTATAAATTAAATGAAAATCAAACACTAATCATAAATATAACAAAATACAAATAATTATTAATAGAAAAAAAGAAGATAAATAGCTGAAGGAAAGCGAGAAAAATGGCGCAAAAAATACACACCTCACACTCGCTAATTAACACGTGAACTAAATTAGCGCCAATTCTTGACCTCGCGGAAAAATTTACGGGAAAAAAATAACGCCAAATGCTCGCCAAGCTTTGTTGCCAACGGAGATATCAAAGGTACATATCCGGTGATGACGTAGAACACACTTCCGGGTTCCGATCTGCGGAATTCTGTAAAACTCCACCATGGCTATGTCATCACTCCCCGCTGCCTGTTTCAGGGTAAAAAGCTCTATAAACTAGCCCTTCTCTTTGTGAATAGCCTGTTAGCTATTCCAAGGAGGTTCTATTCTAACCTCCTTGAGCTATTCGCACCACGCACCGTCGGTGCGATTATCCACTGCGGTTTCGCTAGCCGTCCGACGCTAGACAGGTAGTCACACCTTTAGGTCTGTCTGTCATTGTTACTGCGCTTATGGTTTCTACAAGCGAAGAATCCAAGTAATTTGTTTCTGGTCATAGTAATTGAGAACGTAGAGGCTGTAAAAATTGTGTGTTAACAGTATTGAAAATAAAACGGATATTATGATATATAATTCCATTTCTTGGTAGTGAAGATGGGTTCTATAGTTTTGAGCACACTTTCAATATTTTTAGGATTATTTTTTATCCTTGTAGGCTCCATGAAGATTTCTCCAAAAATTAATAAAGAAATGCATAGAGAAATTGTAAGTGAATGTTTTTATTTGTATGCTTTTTATTTTATTTGCATTTACAAGGAGTATATTTTGAAAAAAGTTCCAATAGTGCAAAAGTTTCCGCACAAAAGTCTCGATTGACAATTATAATTCTGACAGTCAAGCAGTGTAATGTTCAAAAGGTCAATTTCTTTACGCAAAGCAGAATTATTACATATGTATATGTAGGATTTGAAAGTGACAACCATGGAACAATGCCTTCTTTTTATTACATATGCAGACTTGCTAGAGAAAGTTGTTTTTTAACTGATTTAAAATTGTTCTCAACTGCATTGCAAGTAACATATTTTGTTTGTTGAATGTTCTTAATCATTAAGGTAAAAATAAGGGAAAGATCTTAGTCTTTTATTTTCCAGATTTTAAGGTTTAATTAAGTGAGAATATTTTATTAAATGATAAAAAAATATATTTATGAGGTTATTAAAATATATAGAAATTGAAAATTTTGGAGTGATACAGAGGATTTTATCAACCTAATTTTCATTTTATTGATATTATGTTGTACTTAATTGGTATGGTGAAACATCTGTACTAGTAAGGCTTTGCGAATCCATAAATATTTGCATAACTAGTAAGGCTTTGCGAATCCATAAATAAAATTTTAAAACAGTGTGTTACAATATTTTCCACACTTTTAATATATATAATAATTTTATTTTTAAATATGATTAACCTTTTGAAGACGGGATGGCCATTATAGTGGCCATAGAGTCCTCTCTTTGAAAAGACGGGGTTGTCCACTTTAGTGGCCATGTCTTTTTCCCCCATTTTCCAGGCTGAAAAGTGGGGTGAAATGTCAAATTTGACGTCCCTAGGGTTTTAACCACTTCTAAATCACATTTGATGTGGTGGACCTATAGAGGGAAACTGAAGTATTTACAACTTTGCCAATAGTAATTAGTGTATAGTTGGAGTGAAGTGGTAAATGGTAGGTAAAAGTCCTCTTTAGATAATAGAATATTTTTGCTTCTGAGAAAGAGAGACCTATGCTTCTTATTTTTCAGATAACAAGAACTTTTTTGTAGAACTAATACTAATGTGAAATGTGCCTGCTTAAAAATATTGTTAGTAATGTAAATATAATTTTTTAATTCATATGTTTCAGAGAAGAAACTTTGTGCAATATGCGAAAGTGTTTCCCTTGGCAAAAACCATGGGAATCAAAATGCCATCTAAATATTTCCGAGTAGTGGTTGGCTGGCTTGAAGTTCTTTGTGGAGCTATTCTTATATTTGTCCCAGGTATGTTTTAATTTTTTAATAGTAACAGTTGTATAGTTTATAACTATATTTTAGGATGGCAAAAATTTATGTGTTAATTATATTCCAACTCAGTTAGGTGTATCTATAATCAGAGCTTAATTTCTAAAATTAGAAGTGCTAGAACCCTACGGAGAGTCATCAGAAAAAAAGGAAAAAAATAAAAATAAATATTACAGTAATAAAATAAAAAGTAGTCAAAATATTACATAATTAAAATAATAAAATAATCAGCAATTAAAATACTGGGTAAAAATATATTTCATGCTGCCCCTTGGTGATTTTTGTTAATTGGCCAGCAAGGCACAATTTCAAGATGGATGCTATACAAAACCAAAATAACAAGTCAGAGAATTGCATAAGCTCGATGTTTATGCACACATAGAGGTAAAAATATATTTATGTGGCCCCCTTGTCTATAATTGCTGATATTTAGCGGTACATGGACACCAAGTTTGTGTAATTCTTTGACTTGTTATTTTGGCTTTATGTAGTGGTGATTTTTGGTGAAAAATTGCCGCTACACAAATCGAAAGTAAGGTACTTTTCCATTTTGCCGGCACAAGCGATAAAGTCACCAAAAATGGTACAGCCTATGCCAAACGGAATATCCTCGCTGGTAACCTTCTGCGCCTCATTTCCAAAACAAACCGCAGCCATTTCTTATCAGATTGATTGTTTCTTTCAATACTGGCATACAATTTCATAGAATTTTTACCAGATAGTTCAATTTTATACCCTAAGGCCATTAGCGGTAATTAAGTCAATTAGGATGCAATCTCACCGCTCGCTTGAAAGCGAAAATATAAAAAAGGCAAAATCAAGGGTTAAATTCATCAATTTTAATGAGAATGCACTAGTGAAGTAAAGCACTGTGGTTTTGCATAATTTCTGAGTAAGCTATTCGTATGAACTGAAATAAAGTAAATTCTTAATGTCTTTTCACAAATTTATTGTCTTTTTACAAAATTTTAAATGATATTAAAATTGTGATGCCTTCAAAATAAAAAAGTTATTAGAACTAACATTTTTTATATGTATACTGTGTGTTATACTGGTGTCGCCACATAAATTCACAGAAATAAGAGTAAAAAATATCCTCCATAGTGACGGTATCCTGACGGTCTACCATACGCATTTCTATAAGTGTTTATAATGTATTATAAAGTGTTGTATAATGTATTATAAGTGTCCTGTTTATAATGGCTACTAAGTAAACCTTCATTTACACACCTGTCAATTAACGCCTTTCCCCCCCTTTGATTCCAAATCGTACAGAAACTTCAAATTATTCAAACTATTTTGGCCTGCATAGTGGCGATTTTTAGCACAAAAATTCCTGCTACGCATTTGTGCAATTCTTTGACTTGTTATGTTAAAAAAATAACAAGGTCAAAGAATTGTACAAACTCGGTATCCATGTACATAAATCGACCTATTTTCACTTAAAAAAAATCCCCGAATTGCACAACCTATGCTTTACGCACTCCCTTGAGTTTGTCCATGTACACATCGATGTATTTTCACCTAAAACGTCAAAGGAGCACCCAATTCTACAGTAGAGGCAAACAAAAAATACATAATCTCAATAAACTACATTTTGTATCAAACAATAAAATAACACAAAAAGGGAAAAACCTGTTATGTGTTTTAGCACTACACAAAGCAAAAATCCCCTTACCTTATTTAGAAATTCATTCGTCTTCAGTCTGTGGCACACAAAATTCCTTAACAGCATCCAAAAACTTCCTAAAATTATCTGAACTACAATCCGTACATTGACATCGCCACAGAAATTCACAAAAATAATAGTAAAAAATATACTACGTAGTTCCGTACCATGGCTACTAAGTAAACTTTTATTTACACAATTATTTCACTCAAATAATGCACTTTTCCCCTTTCGTTACAGAAACTTCAAATTAATCCTACTACATTCAGCCATTGTAACGTCTAAACAATGAAACAAACAATGTACTCCCTAAGCAACACACACCACAGAAGCCCTTGCAAAACATCCCATGATTCAAAATTTCTCAGAATAATGCAAATGATTACATCATAATAGGGTTTCCATAACATTCAACTACTCAAGTTACCATAAATGATACAAAAATTTGGCGATAAACGAAGCAACAACTTGGCGATAAACGAAACAACAACTTGGCGAAAATGAAACAACAACTTCGCGATAATGCAAGGGGTACCTTAAAGTCAACTCTAACCATATATAAATACTGTATTAAAACTACATAACTAAAATGTATTGCTCAGCTGCCAGGTTTAGACCAATATTTTAGAATGTTGAGATTTTCACGATCAGTGTACAGAAGTTCTGTATCTGCCTAAAAGTGTGTCAATGCCAAACACACTAACTTACACCATATGTTTTTTCTGTGATAATTATTATGATGATAGGAGGTATCTGATTCTTCTGTTATGTCAAATAACATTTGATAATGCTTTGCAGCGAATATCTGGACTGGGAGAAGTATGAATTTCTATAGGTCTTCAGTCTTATTTAATTTGATTATATGTCTAAATAAAACACTTTTTCGTATGAGATGTAATCAGATATATATATATATATATATATATATATATACTGTGCAAAGAAAAGGACGGGGGAGGACAGTTCTATATCTCCCGTTCTACTGGGCCAATTGATGAAATTCAAATTGCATTTTTCATGTCTCAAAAGTGCGACTTGGGATGTATATTAGATTTATATATAGCATCATTCTAACAAAGGTATTTCGACACAAAATCTGACTTTTTCTGAAACGACGTCAATTTTTCCCCATATTTCGATTCTACGACTCAAATTATGCCTAAATATTAAATTTTATAAAATTTGGTGTGACATTTACGGAGAAATTAAAAAAATTATCTTGGCATATTTTTTTCAGTTTTTGCCAAGAATAATTTACTTAACAAACTTTTCCCATTTCCTTTTCAACTCCTTTTCCTTTTTTTTCTTTCATTGCAGACGAGTGGGGAAAAAGTCATCCTTCATACTTTCAAATAATTTTAACAAAGTGCGTAAACCACATTTGGCATTATTATTGCTAAAAAAAAAAAAGATGCCAAATTTCAAAACACTCCAATATATAAATTCATGTACATCTTAGACAATTTTGAATAAAAAAACTCCAATTTTTTGCAGGTGTGCCTAAAAATCCTTTTCCATTGATGAATTAGATTTTAAGAAATATTTTTGGATAATATTAAAAAGGCTAAGGCAAAGCGAATGAAAATAAAGAACCAAGAGCCTTTTGATATAAAAATAAAAAAATAACAAACAGAATTTCTACACAGCCTTTGAAGAAATAGAGAAATAGGACTGCTCTTGCAAGACACCTTTTTTAGATTCAGGATAGATTTATAAAAATCTATCCTGAATAGTTAAAAAAAATGCAGCCCTAACAATAATAGCTCTTCCTCATACTCAAGTTAGTGTGGAAAGACTCTTCTCAGCTGTAAAGTTTATCAAATCGTAGCTATGGTCCTCCAACACAGAAGATCTTGCCGAAGCTATACTGTTTCTTAGAAATAACTAATGCCAGTTTTTCTATTTCATAATAAATGCTAAGGTATCGGACTACGTTCTGATTATCAATTTTGAAGAAATTTTTATTACTTTAATTTAAAGCTTATATTTTTAGCTTCCAAAACCCATTTTTGTTTTGTCTCTCTGGTGATTAGAAGTAGCATTATGGCTGTTTTTGTTCTACACCATGAACCGGAAGTTGATATTTAAGGGGCATAGACATAAGGGGGGGGAACAACATAGCGCGCAATGAACTAGAAGTTGGTCTTTTAGCACTATCCTTATCTTCAGGGCAGATGTTTTTATTTTATTCGGCTTATAATTCCTTACTAAATGTAGTATTTCATCTCCATGTACTCCGTCTTTGATATGATTTAAATCAAATTCCTCGTCATTATAAATATCACGAATACACATCAAATAGTTTCCTGGTTACAATTTTCTAATTTCAAGTATGCGTAATGTATGCTTTACGCATGCACGCATTGAAAGAAATGTTTAATAAAATAAACAAATAAATATTAAGCTTTTTTTTTTTTTTTTTTTTTTTTTTTTAATTTTGATACTTTTTAGATCATAATTATTGCTCTTTATTTCATAAATTATGGTTTCATATTTTTAATTTTATAATTTTTGCATGCCATCTTACCAGATTTAAACTGATGATCTATAATCCAGAATCGCCGAAGTCCCAACAAGTCCGGATTAAAGACTTTTGACTGTACTGTGAAAGCTTCTGCCAGTGAATAGAAACTAGGAGACAATAAAACATTTTCTGAAAATTATAATGAAGCTAATAATGCTGCTGGTAATAGAATATTTGATGTTGAAATTCTAAAATCTGTATTTTCTGCATTATCCTGTCCAGTGTGTTTCAAAACTCAAAACAATAATGAGAGTTTTAATAACGTATCATACCAAAACAAATGCTTGTTGAGTTTGTTGTTTGAAAAAATGAGTTGACAACATTTTGTCTTGGTTCCTATATAGGAGTAATACATTTTAATAATGGATTTTTGGGTATGTTAAAAATATTGGCAGAACTTAATATGAAACATGGACAATATACTGTCAAGGGAAATAACTAAATTGATAAAATTCGGATTGTCGATTCAAAACGGCATTCTTTACATTCCGCAAAAATCGCAAGAAAAAAATTAAGAGCTTCTTTAAAGAAAAAATCTTCTAAAATAGAGTTAACAGAAGGAATAATATACAAAACAGGGCAGTTTTAGCAACATAATATATCAGTTTCTAATATATTTTCTAAAGATAAATCTTTAAATTTGTTTTTTGAAAAACTTGTTTTTGTCAATATTTCTAATACGAAAACACCGTAACATAAAATATTACTATAGCAATTTTATGATACTTCCCACAAATATTCTATAGAATATTGGGAATTAAATGGACTAAAAGTTTAGGTTTATATACATATTTAAGATTTTTGCAGACAATTTTGTAAATGAAGAGAGAAACATTTCTCGAAAAATAACTAGTGTATGTACTCAAACAGGTACATTTAATAGACATTTTGCTTTATGACTTAGATTTTAGTCCATTTTATTTCTTATACTTTAATAAATATAAGGGAAAAATAAATAAAATTAAAATATTGATAAATAATTTTGAGAGAACTAATCTTGTGATACTGAAATTTGAATACATATTTGATCCAAAATGTGAGACAAAAGTAAAAATTACATTTTAATAATATGTTTATAAACTGTTTCTATCATTTTAGGTAGCATTCTGCTAATTAACACCAAAAATGAATTTATTTGTACACTTTTTCAAAGTTAGGGTATCGAACGTAGTCAGATACCTTTTTATAAATAATTTGCTATGCCATCATTTTTTTCTTCTGTAGTATCTATTATTTATTTTTATTTAAAAAAAATAAGCTGTAACCCAGTGGCGTAGCGAGGGGGGGCAAGGGGGTGTATGATGCCCGGGCGTCGCTCGCAGAGGGGTGCCAAATGGTCTCCAAACAAGATTTTCATCATACCACTGTGTTTTTCTTTCTTTCGGGGGGGGGGGGCGCCAAAAAGGTATTTTGCCCCGGGTGCCAGTTATGCTCGCTACGCCACTGCTGTAACCCATGCGTATATGTTTACATATATGAGGGAGTTGGAGGCATTAAAATTCCAGGAGTCTGAGTCGGTCATTTTCCCTACTTACTTCACAGCCCAGCATTGAGGAGCTAAAATTTTGAGAGCCAATTTTTAAAAAACTGCTCGTGCGATTTTTACAAAACTTGGCAGTTTGGCATAATTTCAGTCGTAGAATTGAAATATGGATTAAAATTGGCATGTCATTTCAGAAAAAGTCCCATTTTATGTCAAAATACCTATATTAGAACAATGCTATATATAAATCTAATATATATCCTAAGTCGTGCTTTTGAGGCATGAAAAGCGCAACTTGAGTTTCGTCAATCGACCCAGTAGAACGGGAAATACAGAACTGTCCCTTTTTTGTGGTGTACATATTCCAACAACTGATATGGATAACATCATCATGAAGCCTCTACATTCAGTAAAATCGGAAACAGCATTTATAGTGGCTGCTACAAGAATGGATATCCTGCTTTATCTTAAAGTTAATTGGAAATTCCAGCTTTATACAAGGGTCTAATTAACAAGCCTTTGTATGATTAAATCTTCAGAATGAGCATCTGTTCTTGAAAACTGCTTCCACAGTTTGTGAACTTTAGTAATACATTATTCACACTATCATATCTTAGCTTGATGACTGTTGTGCCTCAAGCTACCTATGCTATTACATCGCACATTGTATGCAAGTGATATAGTGAAGTCTAAAAAATAGCTGAATTTTTAACTTATATTTAAAACATGAGTGACAATCCTTTTCAAAATAACTGTTTTATGCGACTTTTGTATTACAAAAAATGATACAACTTAGACAAAAGCTATGCAAACAATATTCACAAGCAATGCAAACTTTCTTTATGAGACTTATAAGCAAATTTGGTGAAGACCGCTTTATTTTTTAGGCAAATGATCATATACTGTGATTTCCCCCTTTCTTGATAAATAATCAGTGTGTTTTAAAAATTGTTGATATTTTTTTTCTTTAAAACTGTAAAAGTATTTAATATTTGTTACAAAATTTTAGTTAAAAAAAATTTTTTTTTTAGGTGTTGTAAAGCAACTGGCAAATATAATCTTACTAATCCTGATGTTGGGTGCGTTTTACACACACACAATTTTAGAAGACAAATTTGAAAGAACGGCTCCATCTATTGTGTTTGCTCTTATGCTAGGATGTCGGCTTGTCGTCTACATGCAAGTTAAACGTAAGGAAAAGAAATTGGCAAATGAAAAAACTCGGGACGCCACACATAGAGAGTTGTTTAGGACTGATATGGTTGCAAATAAAGATACTAAACAAGATTAGAATAATTCACTTTATCAGCCTTTAGTGAAATGGTATGCACAATATAAAAATAACTTATATTCTTTATATTATTTTCATATAAGTTCTATTAACACCTTTTTTTACTTATACACGTTTATGTTTTAGGTATATTTATTTTTTTTATTCTGTTATTACATACTAGTCATTTTCATGTTAACTGTTTTAGGAATTTTATTTAAATATATTCTTGTTAATTAATTTTAATTATTTAAATATCTGTTTTGAAGTTGATTTCATAACTGTGAAATTTGTGCAAAGGGAGCCATTAAATGAATTTTTTTTTAATTTTAAAAAATTGCATGAATCATAATTAAAGCACTTTTCCCCCCTTTATACATTTTTTTATATCTAAAAAAGCTTTTAAAACTCACTGGCATTCCTTGTGAAATGAGTTTACACATGCATTATGAAATTTAAGAGTGCATTTTTGGTTTCATAATTTGTATGAGCTTGTATTTGCATGATATATATATATAAATACACACATATATTTGTATACTTCTAGTATAATTTTTTTGCTTCTGGCATAATATCAATAGTAAATATTTAAGCAACATTTTCAGTAAACGAAATTATTAGTTTAAATTTTTCCGTACATGTTAAATAATTTTTCACAGGAAAATTGATCATCCAAGTGAGATTATTTTTGTTATGGAACAATCTTGTATTACTCTTTGCATTATGTCATAAGTTCAAGGGATCAGTGGCAAACAGGCACATGCTACAAAAGTGCAATTTTAGATAAAAAAGGAACATATTAAAATTTTTTCTTGCAGAAATGTGATGCACAACAGGAATTATTCAAACTTGTACTTTTAACAGATATGACTATGCATGTATGAAGCTATGACACCTCCTTTAAAGATAAAACACAAAATTATTTATAAAATATTTCAGAAATGCAGTATAAATTTATGTATTAAAAGTAGTTGCATATACATGTTGCTTGGCAGGGATTCCATCATTATTTAAGCTAATCACGATATAAATGAAGCATTTCAGTTTTAAGTAAATAATGGTTATATATGAGATATGTTAGGATTTTGCATTCTGCTCTAGTATCATAATGTATTTCTTGGAAGCATTTTATTCAACATATTTACAAATTCTACTTTTTAGATATCCAAATATCATCAGTTAGGGATTTTCAATGAATGAAGGAATTATTGTGGGAACAGTTCTAAAATGTTACAGAATTAGTCTGCCTTATTATATCTCCCTCCGAAAAGTTTGATGGTATACTCCCTCATTTAGTTTAAAGGGCCGCCCGTGTTTAATGTGTAGGCTTACTGATGGAAGTTGGAGGATGGTATAGAAAAATTAAAATGAAGATTTTACACACACATACATTTAAGTTAAATTTATTCATTCAAAATGACCCTATGTAAAATTGGTCGATGATATTAGAAATAAGATACATAATTTGTCTGCAATTATATTCATAGTAAATATTAAAGCTGTTAATGAATTGCTATGTGTGCTTGGACAGTTACTTGGCATCATATTGAGATTAAAATGTTTCATAAAACCAAATGCCTTTTAATTTAGTTTGAAATCTCCAGTCTTAATAAGAGGAACATCTGTAGGCCACTTAATGAAATAGAATACACAAACACACTCACTGTCTAACAAACAACCTTGCCACTCCCATGGGGTTGCATCAACAAAATAGGGCTATTTTTGATGCATTACTATGCATATACCCTTTTCCCAGTTAAATTTTGTGTGTTTGTTAATGTGTTCTTTCATCTATTTAATTATGTATTTAAATTGATAGTAACATTTGTAGTTTCAAAGATATAAGCATTCACACACATTTCAAATAGCGTCTCAATTTTTACTTTCCCATCAGATCATTATGGAGGATCGTAATCCCACTTTAAAAAGTAGACACATAAAATGTGCCTCTTTTCTTTTAGGCCCTTTAATTTATGAACCTTTTGTTTCATGCTGTTTTGGAGTAAATCATTTTCTTGTATAGTTAAGCTGCATTCTTTACAATTTTAAATGTTTTCTTGCATATCAAAGCTTAAATATATTAGTGTGTGTTATGTAAATAGTTTATTAGATAGAATTTTCAAAGTATTACAATATAGTGTTAGCATAATTATAAAACTTAGATTCAATGTTGCATTTCTCTTACTGTTTACATCGACAGAACTAAACATTTTAACATAGTTAATATAGTGGTTCTTTAAAATTAGCATTTTAGAAAATAAATATTGCCATAAATGTGAATTTGTATGAATATTTGTGAATTTGCTCTTTCTGGTGATGAAAAGTGAGAATATTCCTTCATGTTTTTTACTGAAGAAGGTCTGCATTGGATAAGCAGTGCTATTTAATTTTTTAATGTGCCAATACTGAAAGATTCTGAAAAAAATTAATGCAAGGCATTGTAAAATAGTTATGTCTTATTAGCAATTGATTAATTTGTAACCTTAGCATATTCAAAAATTAAAATAATTGAATGGAGCATATTTTTTGTGAAAATCTATTGAATTTCATTTCCTAATCCCTGTATGTAATTTAATAAAAAATGTATATGTAATGTTTTCATTAGTATTTCTTTCAAATCTTTTTTTTTTTTTTTTAAAGAATGAACTTTAGAACAGAACTTTTAATAAATTTTTATTTTAAGAAAATGCACACTTATTTAAGGATATCAAAAATAAATGCATAAATTTAGTTCAATAGCATTCATAATGAATGGATACTCAGATAAATTTCAAGATTCACTGATTGAATTTACTGAAGTACTTCAGCTTATCTTCTGGATTAGGAATAATCTAAAACAAAAAAATAACATTAAAGAACAAACAAAAAATACTCATTTTTAGTTAATGTATAATTCTGAAATTTTATAATAAAGATCATGATATTGTATAGCATCATTATACAGACATAGTCTTTACATTCAAATTTTTCTATATATTGTACCTGCACGAATAGTGCTAGATTAAAGGCCTTTATGTGTGAGCTTTTATAATCGCATCAAATTTCAGATTCTTCTTTTTTCCAGCTGGGAGAACATTTCAGCCTTGCTGACTATTAGACTAGGTACAGGGTGGTCATAAACAAACTTGCCCGATATATGAACTCCTAACCGCTTATTCGCTGAACTAAATGAAAAGAAATTTAGGTACTTTTATCTGAAGGTATGTACTCGAGATTGTGATTAAAACAATACAGCTTTCATGGTTATGATTAGAATAAAAAGATTTAGAAATTTTTACAGCATCCACTTTTTTATGTGGAAATTGATCAATGCATTGAAAAACCATAAATGGCATTGGAAGATTTCTGGTTCTGGGGTTACCTGAAATCTAAAATGTACACATGTAATCCATGAGATTTGTCAGAATCGAAAGCTACCATAAAACATGAAGTTATACTAATTCCCCCCCCTGTCATGTGATATTCATCATTATTGTGAACTTTCCTGCATGCAATGTATTGTCTGTGAAGGAAGGCACTGGTAATTCCAATAACAGTTTTTTTCCCTGTCGTGTTGTCATTGATCCTTTGCAAAAGTTTTATGCCAACAGTTTTCATCATATGCGTATTGTTCAACATCATTTATGGTTTTTCAAAATGCTGATTAACAGGAAAAAAAGTAAGTGTTGCCATTAGAAAATTTCACAATGTTTTCAATGTAACCATAATCATAAGAGCTTTTTTTATTCTGAATCATCACAATCTCAAGCACCTGCGGTTAAATAACAGTATCTGAAACTTCATTTCAACTGGCTGAGCAGATAGGCAACTAGAGGAAAGTTTTTTTCTGACTACCATGTATTTAATGTTCGAAAATATCAACTAGACTGACCAATCCAAAATATACAAAGGAAATAGATTTATGTATCATTAATCTTGGTGCCGAAGATATTGTTTTTAATCCTAGGACTATTTTCAATAGATTACCCCCATGACAGCTATTTTATAAAGGTGGTGTTTCACATCTTTCCCTATATATATATATATATTTTTTTTTGAAAATATGGGTTTGTAGTGCTTTTTCTTTTGTTAAATTTTATCACTCTTTTAAATGTAATGATTTGATGCAAGAGCTTCTTGATAAGAAAAATTGTGTAGCTCTATCATTAATGCACTATATCTTTTAATCTGAAACAGACTACTTTGATGCACTTAGCAGTGCATTTCATCTAATAGACACCATAGTTATTAATATTTTAACCTATACTACTGGAAACTGTTGAATGCATACTATCCAGTAGTACAGATTTTTAGTGGTTTACAAAATAACACACAAGTTGCAGAAATTTAATTTCCAGGCTCTGTCTTAAGAATATTAATGGATACTACTGCTTTTAAAGAACTTTCCTTATGTACTTACAAATTAATTTAGACAACACTTTTCATTTCTGTTACTGGAAGCAGACTTGAAACACTCTTCTGTAATAACATTGAATTTTGCATGATGTTGGATATCAGTTCCATTAGAAAAGCTTCATCCCTTCGGTGCAGACATTAATTTTTATAATAGACAGTTGAATAGGCAGGGACTTTGCTTTTTTTGGCTAGAATGTGTCTCATAAGGACAGCACTTTGCTTACATATGTGAAGCACAATTTTAGTAGAAATTATTTTCATGCTCAGTTCTAAAATTAGCCAATTTCTTGAATTATTTTCAATTCTTCAGCTATCAGTCTCAATCTTGAGTGCAAAACGTAGTATAGTTGCATTGAAGAATACTATATCTTGCACTCTATTAATACTTTCGCTGCCAGTCATTTGAGGTTGTGTTGATAGTTATCGGCCTGATATAGAAGTAGACTGTACCAATATGCTGATTTATTTATTATAAGAAATATGATTTAAAATGAGGTCATAAAAGATGATTTTGTGCATGACACTGATTACCTTTAATCATAAAGTTTTATGACTACGTGCCAGCATGTGACTGGAACTAGAGGTAAAGTTATTTCCTCAATACCATATTACATGCCAGTGCGTGAAAAAAATTCATTTAAAATGAATCAAAATAATCTTTTCAAAATAAGAACACTATGTTAACTATATGCATTACATTTGCATGCAACTATATCACAAACAAACAAATATATATCACAAACAAAGAAAACATAAAAACACAAAACATTAATACAGTCAAAAGTCGTTAATCCGGACTCATGGGGACTTCAACGATTCTAGATTATCGATATTTCCGGATTATAGATCATCAGTTTAAATCTGGTAAGATGGCATGCAGAAATTATAAAATTAAAAATATGAAACCGTAATTTATGAAATAAAGAACAATTATGATCTAAAAGGTATCAAAATTTACAAAAAAAAAAAAAAAAAAAAAAAAAAAAAAAAAAAAAAAAGCTTAATATTTATTTGGTTACTTTATTAAACATTTCTTTCAATGTAAGTTGTTTAAGTTGCTTCGTTTTATGTGATAATAGTTTCTCTAATTCTATAAACAGACATAATTTCTTGTTCAGTTACAAAGTTCCGCTGTTCAAATCCTATAATTGCCGTGTCGAGAATACCGACTAATTTGTCAAGTGAAATTTTTTCATTTTCAATAACCTGTGTGTCACTTTCTTCACTATCGGAAGCGAATTATAATGATGAGGAATTTGATTTAAATCATATCAAAGACGAAGTACATCGAGATGAAATACTATATTTAGTAAGGAATTATAAGCCAAATAAAATAAAAACATCTGCACTGAAGATAAGGATAGTGCTGACAGATCAACTTCCAATTAATTGCGCGCTGCGGCGTCCCCCCCCCACGCAGAGCAGCGTGAAATTGATAAACAGATTTCGGAATGGTCAGAGAAACAAAGGATATGCCTTTATCCATTTTTTGCAGCAATTCCACTTTTTGTTTAATGGACTTCGAATCATACTTTCGCTTTGTAGATCCTTTACATATTAGTAAATATATATTGGAAATTCTATTTGACATAATCGAAAGTTCAAGCTTACTTTTATAAAATTGCTCTAACAGTCTGCAAAAAATAATAAGCCGAATTCAATTCGAAGATTAAGGAACGATGCAATCTGCAACATTAACTGAATTAGATAATTTTAGCTTAGCTTATACCGTCCGTTATACATTAAACGCGCATGCACACATGCATATTCGCAGCCGTAAAGGTCTTGCGCGCATGCGTCAACGCGACGTCAAAGTTTGTAGCTTTGAGGTCCGGATTATGGGTGTCCAAATTAACGACAACTGTATATAACACACATATATATATGTTACGAATGAATTTAATACAAGGTGGTTGTAATAATAATATTACAAAGCATATATTTCAGAATGTTATTCGTATATAATCTTTGCATGAAATAAAACTTTGCTGTAATTCAAAACCACATACTAGTTTCTAACCTTTATTCCATGACAATGCCAGCATAATAGTAAAAATGAATGTGGATTACACTAGAGCAGGGTTTCTTAAACTTTTTCCAGTTGCAACCCTTTTTTATCACTGAGATTGTTTCACGATTCCTAGGACCCCATAATATTTACAAAAGTTTTGTGGGACCCCATAAGTATTGTGCAAATCCGTTCTAATTTTAAAATTTTAAACAAGTAACAGACGAAACGACAGCGTTACGTGCAAAGCATGGAAAATGAATGTTTACATTATCAAAAACATGTGTCAAAATGATTTCATTTTTTTCCTTGTCTGTATTGTCTTATCTTTATCTATTTTGAGATCATTGTGTAAAAATATTTGGTAATTGTGAAATTTTTATAATAAGTTAACGAAATATCAAAGTTGCTAAAATTTTTGGCGACCCCCTGCTGCAGGTCCCGTGACCTACAGTGTAAGAAATCCTGCACTAGAGAATAAACGAGGTGCCAGCATATAACTGGCATCTGAGACATCATCCCACACCACATGCCAATGCATGAGCAGCTCTTCAGCAATAATAACACATTATGTGCCAACGTATGATTGGCAGTGAACGTGTTAATGCCTGCTGACTACTGGGATCATCTGTCACACATTCTCACCTGGTTTAATCATTCATGCCACTTAAGCAGACTTAGCTTTCTCACGGCTACAGTAGGTGCCACCTGATGTGATCACTTTTGTATGAAACTAATTTGATAACATTAAGCAATGAGAAAAAATATCCTTAAAATCAGCAATAGAACTTAGGTAATTTAATATAAATATACAGTAGATACCATTTAATGTGATCACAATGTTATCGAATTGCCAAAGGACTGCCCATCTATAAATGGGAACCATGGAAAATACATCACTTATTGTGACCAACAGTTTGGTTAATATGATCAAAATATAAAATATAATTTTTAAAATTTCAAAATAATTTTAAAATAGGCTATAAAAATTACCAAAGGGTTAAATTGGCAAAGAGTTTGGTTTCAGTTTTAATTAACTATTTAAAATTAGACCAAAAAGTTTGATATAAATTTTCAATAATTCTATTAATTTTGAATGCGATCAGACACATGTTCCCTTTTTCAAGAGCAACTCCTGAAAACATCTATGCCAAACTAAGGTTGCATTTTTGCCTAATTTAAAATCTTACATTGGCATATTCTCTTCTAATGAGGGATGCCCTCTCAATATTAAGATTAGATGTACAGCATCTCTCAAATAATTTTAAGAAACATTATGGACAGTCTTCAGAGTCACTAAGTTATATTGATGGAGGAAATATGAAGATGTGCTAAGCCCTTACTGGGATTCGAATTCTGGATCACCCAATTACCCAAAACACATGCTTCTAGTTCAAAAGGAAGATGAAAATACCTTATAAATTCATTAACAAACTTTTGCATTTTCCTAATTAAAATGCTGTGAAAGTACCTATTTACATATTTCTAGTTATATTCATATAAAATTAGTTTAAATCTATTGTTATTTTGAAGGATATTCCCCGTCACTGTTAAATGTTATCAAAACAACGTGATCAACAATGTTGTCAAAACAAATGTTATCAAAGCAACGTGGATGAACGTGATCATATTAATTGGTGCTACTGTAAACTGAAACATTTTTTTTAAATCCTTCACCAGACCTAGGCATGACAGTTATTAGTCTGTAACAGGCAGCCCAATATAATTCAGAAACATTAAAAAAAGTACAATAATTTTTGACAGCATTAGCCATTGGCACGGCATAAAACCCAGAACCAAGTGTCCAAATGGCCACCACACACGCTCTCAGCATCACATAATGGGTAAGATGGAGAGTCTGCTACACCAGATCTTTACGTTCTTCAAAGATATAACATGATGTACTTGGATTTGTTTCAGAAAGTATCTGGTAGATTTATCTTATGTTGTCTTCTGTTCGAACAATAGAAACCTGTGTCTGATCATTCTCGGAATCAACATGACCTAATCCCCCCACTTACTGACACAGTTATTTGATAATTTTTTAAATTTATTTTGATATTGTTTTGGAGAATTTACTTCAGTTTGAAAAATTCATTCTGCAGCATTTTGATAACATTAACTGAATTGTTGATTATAATAAGAGATGTATTTACCATGTTTTCATATACAAGTGAAGGGAACTTTGGCAACATAACAGTATCTGAATGATAATAATATACTATTGGCCATTAAACTTGCAACACCACGAAGGAAAACAAATATGCAAAAGTTATTTATTGTGCATAAACAGTACGGCATGAAGACAAAATGTTTAAATTTGTAAGAAGTTTGGGGGTTTACAAGGGTGAAATTAGTAGAAATAGCTGACCCCCTGGGCAACTAAAATGGTCCTTACCTGGCTATCCTTGGAGTGGAATGGAGTCGAACTGGGCTTGGGCAACTCATTCCATGCTGCTTCAAGTCTATGCCACACTTCAACTGTATTAGCTGAAAAGGGATGGCGGGCCTATCGCTCAGCAACCCATCACCAAATGTTTTCAGTAACAGATCTGGAGATCGCACAGGCCAGGGCTGCAATTGAATACCCTGTGTATCAAGGAAGGTCAGAACATGACTTGCACCATGTAGTCTTGCATAATCTTGTTAGAAAGTGGTGTTTGGCAGGCCTCGAAAATAGGGCACAACCACTGGACGTAAGATATCAGAAATATATCGATCTGCGTTCAAATAACTGTCGATCTGAACTACAGATATGTATGTTATTTACCCAATGTCTGCCCAAACCATTATACCAGGTGCAGAGCCCCTATGTGGATATTGAATGCAAGCAGGTGACGTGCAGTCTCCTCAGAGCCTCCAGACCCATATATGGCCCATAACAATACTGCACGCAGAACCGAGATTTCCTGACTAATGGTCTGTGATGTGGTTGTATGTTTTTGCAGGGCTAACAAAATGCCTGCCCTCTCGGGCATTGCAATCCTGCATGCAGTTCAGCATGATCCTCATTAACCCATTGATTCCATGTTCGCATGACAGTGGCTGGATGTCGACCAGTGCAACAAGTGACATTACGGAACTATAAACTACACTCTTGATAGGCAACGATCTTGGCTGTATCAAATTCTGACACTTGTTGGTAAGCATTTCTTCTTATTCAAGGCATAACGCTATATTCTGACTAATCTTTGGAATATGGTAACAGGTAGTTTGGTGACATTTTGGTAAGGGGATAAAGGTTACTAGCTAGGACTTTAGCAGTGTAGATGGATAAAGTCAAGAGTGTGCGCAATGCCATTTTTGTGCAATTCTGGGATGTTTTTTTAAGTGAAAATAGGTTGACGTGTACATGGTTACCATGTATGTGCAATTCTTAAAAAGCAGTTTGCGATTCTGCACTTTCTCCCAATTTCGCACCTAGTCTTCGTCATTATTAAGCACTTTTGTTCCATAAAAGTTCTAGCAAAAGCGTAATTCGGCTAGCAGATTGTTGAAAAAAATGTTGAGGGGAAAAAAAAAAACATGCCTTTACTTCATGAAAACAAAATGGTGTCCAAACAAAAACTAGCAAGTTGCTGTAGCAGGGTTGGTCGCCAAATTTTTGTCAAAAAATCCCCAAGTTACCATAATCTAAAGATTAACCAATATTCTGACCTAACTCCAACCTTACAAAGCGCATTCCGAATAAGAAATCCACTATACAGCTTTTCTTTAATGCAGTGCTTCAGGTGCAATTCTTCTCTCCTGCATCATCTAAATGTGCTGAAATACTAATCATTTGCATATCTCAACCTCTTCCTTTCAAGTGATTTTGCATTTGTCAAATCACTCCTTCTTGGTGTTGCAATTTTAATGGCCAGCAGTTTATTAACAGTAATAACATTAAGCAATGTCTACTGTATATGATAGTTTTAGAATTTGAATATTTTGGTAGCACATCTAATTTTCACATGAAGTATGATGTTTAAATGATGCTGTCAATGTTGACTACACATTTTCATGCCAAAGTGACATGCAGTTATTTATTTTCTTCCTAAGAACTAATTATTACACTTGCATTAGTCAACTTAAATATATATTATACTTAAACATGAATATTAATGTGACTTCAATAGTTATGTCATAGTCAATTCTGGGAATTTCTGTATCACACCTTGTGTCTTCTGTAACACCATTTTTGAAATATTTTGAGAAATAATGTGAAGTTTATGAGTATTTTTTTAAAGCTACAAATCAGGTACATTTAGAAATATTTGGATTCATCTGTTTGCAATGAGAAATGTGTGCATTTTTTAATATTTTCAACAATTTGCATTCAAATATTGGACAATAATGGCACAGCATATGTATTAATTCTACAATAAATCTAAATGCCCTATTTACATTTTTAACACATATGTTCACCAGTATTTCTTTTAAAAACAGTCTCAATTTAAAGGGAATTTATTGGAACTATAAAAAACAAAATGTTATCTTGAATCTAACATCTCGTCAACAGCATTCAAGCTGTGTATGAAAAGAGTTATAATACAAACTGTTGCCACATACCATTTTCTAAATCACCGTGTTTTTACTACTTTTCCTGTTGCCATTCAGAGCTAGAGAAATGTATGTATTCAAATCAAAACAATTATCTTTAACTGCCCAGATGAGAAAGTGGTTAGTGATGCTGACCTGCTGTACTGGAAGGCCTGGGTTCGAATCCTGGAGAAGGCATGGATGCTTGTAAATATATAGTGTCTGTGTGGCATGGGGACACTAAAAATATGTGGCAAGCAGGAAGTTCTTTTGAGAGGTTGGTGATAGGGAAAGAGAGGTGGGAAACCCTCAGATCTGCCAGCCCCCGAGATGCTCTTCTTCAAAACTGGGACGGAACAAAGCAGAACATGTGCCATCACCTGTATTTTGCTCAAGGTTCATGCCAAACAACAGGTGTAAAAATTGCACTCCTTGCCGCCATAATATTTGTGAGTTTGTTCACTATATGTTAGACAGATAAGATATGATAACAATAACAACATCATCAATGTAAAGAAATTAATTAAAAAAATCAAAGTATTCTTTTAGGTAAAGATGATTAGGTGTTTTGAGGTATGATTCAAAAAATGTTGAAAAATATGGCTCACTTTTTACAAATTAAATTTAATTCTGGGTTTGTGAATACTAATCTATTTTCCATATAAATGGATGTTTTTTGTACTCATCACTTTGATTCATGAGTTTCAAAGAAATATCTACTTTTAGATGAGACAGAAAACACATATAAATAACCAAATTTAAAACTCTATACTAATTTCGGTATACTTATGAATTAAAATAATTACCGGCTATGCATTTAAGTGATCCATAAATTAAAAAAAAAATTCCTTGTCAAAAGTGTATTTTATCTATACTTGGCTAGAATAATTATTGCCACACACATTATCTAATTCAGTATCAGAAGGGTTTTGTTCAATTGCTAATTATGGTGTTGTTGCTTAATAGTTTATGTATAATACCCAGCTATCCATATCATACATTCAATAGCATTTTTGAACATAGCAAAATTAAAAAAAAAAAAAAAAAATTTAAACTACTAGTTAAATAATGTACAATTACTCAATTACTTACAGTATCTCCACCTGGTTTCCATCCTGCAGGACAGACTTCTCCATGCTTGTCTGTGTACTGGAATGCCTGAACTAATCTTAAGGTTTCATCCACAGATCTCCCAACAGGCAAATCATTCATTGTAATTTGTCTTAATACACCTTTATCATCCACAATAAATAAACCTCTATTAAAAAAAATCAATGGGTTAGAAGCTTACTTATCCTGATTTTCAAATTTAATTAATGGCAGATATACATATTGCAGACATACGATTATATGTAATTTCACTTATATGAACTAAAAATTGTTTTAAAATCATTAATGCAAGTGTTCATGGTGTAATAATTTTAATGGCCAGCAAAAAATTGCTACACCATGGAGGAAAGCAATTACCAGAATCATGTTTTTTTTTACAAATATGATATAATAGACATTTTCAACTGGTGAGAAAGGTGGAGAACATGGTAGCTAAGATGGAAGATGAATACCTTGTGCAATGAGGAAACACAGGAAAGTATGGGGCAATAAGCTATCTTGAACTGTCCAAATAAAAGGTGGAATTGCCAAAAATTAAACTTGAATGAATTAACATAATTCAGGAGTTTCATTTATTTAGTTAAATAAGGAAAAATTCATCAGATTGCAGCAGTTTTTCCCACAGACATGATAATTATTAGCAACATTCTATAACATTTATACTCTTTGTGACAAGAATTTCTGTAATACATTGTTGAATGTTGTTTCATTACACAAAATTTAATTTATTTGTAGAGTATAATTTAGCCAGAATATACTGGAAATCCATTATACAGTACAAAGTCTTTAATCCGGACTCATTGGGACTTCGGCGATTCTGGATTAGGGTTTTTTCCAAATCATAGATCATCAATTTAAATATGGTAAGATGGCATGCAGAAATTATACAATTAAAAATATGAAACTGTAATTTATGAAATAAAGAGCAATTATGATCTAAAGGGTATCAAAATTTATAAAAAGAAAGCTTAATATTTATTTGTTTACTTTTATTAAACATTTCTTTCAACACGCGCATGCGTAAAGCATACATTACACATAGTCGAAATTAGAAAATTGCAACCAGAAAACTATTTGATGTGTATTTGTGATATTTATAATGATGAGGAAATTGATTTAAATCATATCGGAGTACATCAAGATGAAACACTACATTTAGTAACGAATTATAAGTCGAAAATAAAAACATCTACCCTGAAGATGAGGATAGTGCTGACAGATCAACTTACAGTTCATTACGCGCCGCGGCGTTGGCACACTGATTTTTAGTGGCACAATGTCAAGAAACCGATTCGAACTCTTACTAAAGTTTTGGCACTTTAGAAATAATAAAATATATCAATAGAAAGGCTGTACAAGTTGCAAAAGATTTGTGATGCTTTCCTGGCTAATTTTCAGAAAAAATATACACCAGGTAAAGAACTCTGAATAGATCTTGACAGTTTTGTAGCAAGGACTTCTTGTTTTCCATCAATAGATTCTGAGCAAACAGCACAAATACAACATTTATATGCCTTCTGAGCATTTACATGGGAACTGTACTTGTGTATTGTGGTACAGTGGATCCTATTTTAGTATTAGATCTCGTGGAAAGAGTAGTAATGGCATTGATGAACAAATTTCTAAACAAAAGGCAGTTGCTTTAGACATAATTGTTACACAAGCATTCCTGTGGCAAATAAATGAAGCAAAACAACATTATGTGAAACGCTGCAAGCAAACAGAAAATATCTTTCTAAAGAAGTTGTGAATACAAAGCTAAAATGAGGAGAAACAATCCCGTACAGAAAGCATCATACAGTGATGACACAGAAAGACAAATGAGATATCCTTATACTTACAACTGAGCATTCTGGTCAAATGAAGACCTTGGGTTAAAAGAATCAAAAGGGGAATCTGTCACCAAACCAAATTGTGTTCTAGATTATAACAAACACATGTGTGGTGTCAATATAATTGATTAACTGCTTTCCGATTACTGATCATTATAGAAACCACTAAAATGGTACAGAAAAGTTGTGCTTCAACATTTCTATATATCAGTCTCTCACTTCTATGTTTTGCATACCAAAATTGGTGGAAAGCTACCTCAGATAAGGTTGTGAAAAGAAATGATACGTTCACTACTAAATTCTAATGAATGAAAGGATACACCATCTCCTAAAAATTATTTCATGCACCATATGTTGCAAATGAAAGCCAATAATTACATTGACACAATAGATGCAACATCAACTAACGACAACATGAAAATGTATTGTGTGCAGAACATGCATACAAAGCCTGTATTGTGTGTGGTGCCTTGCTTTGAAAAATATAGTTATTATATATCTATATTTGAAAAATATAGATAAATTCTAACTTTATGCAAGATTTATGGCTTTCATATTATTTTGTTATTTTTTTAAGTCTACACATAAATAGGTTTTAAATCATTACAAGGACTATTATTGATTATTATTTTTTAAAGTAAAATAAACAACTTTTAAAGGAATTCAACTTTAGTGTTGGAGGGGAATTATCATCCCATGGAGAAAGGCAAAGGTGTGCTATTTCCACGATGAATGTGTTAATAAGCAATGATCCTTAATTTCTCCTACATTAAAAAAAAAGGGGGGGTGTGGAAGATTTAAAGCATTTTAACTCTGTTTGGTTTAGTTGAATTTGACTTTAAATAATATTTACAAGTCTAAAGAAATAAATAAAAATGTCAAAATATGTAGGAAATGTATTTTATAATTGTCCCATAATGCAAATAATTTTATATTCAAATCATAATAAATATAAAAATACAGAGATACTCCATTAATATGTTTAAATTATATTTCCAAAAGTCATTCAAAATAATCATAAAAAATTCATGCAGTCTGGTACACCTACAAAATTAATAATGTATTTCACAGAAGTATGCTCAATTTCACATGGACTACAAATCAGTGCCTTTTCTATAGATGAAAACTTTCATAAAATGCTAGCAAAATTAAATTTCGTATATATTAAAAACTGTACAAATAAATATTGTATTATAGTACATTAGCTTATTCAAATATGGCTAAATAAATATTGCAAGGTCTATCTGCCTATGGGGAGGATGCCTTCGTGGAGGACAGACATTCTAAGAGGTATTTGCTTGTATTCATGTAACACCTAGTGAAAGCCAATCAACCATGCAGCCAACCTATTTGCTTGGGATTGAACCCAGGTCATACTACCAACATTCAGCAGTCTTCAGATACTGGTGGGGCTTATTATAATGTCATATACAAAAAAATATTAAAAAACACTGATACATTAAAACTCGCATGTCTAGATAAATTATTTTCTACATATGCAAATACAGCAAACAGAAACAGCATAAAAAATATTTACATTAATTATTACAATTAATTACAAGTTGAAGCATAAAACATACCTATTATTTTAAAATTCTTTCTATTTATAAAAATAGAAGCAATTTCAAAAGCTAATACATAAAATATTTATTGACATTTAAAATTTTAACTATTAAATTGATTGTTAATTCAATGCATGCTTCATTACCTCAAAGTATGTCCCAAATCTTCTAGATATACACCATAATCTTTTGAAATCTGATGTGTGAGATCAGATAACAATGGAATGTTAATTGGTCCTAAGCCGCCTAATTTTCGTGGAGTACTTATCCTATCAAAAAATTACATTATTAGAACTGAGATGCTTAAACATTTATACAACTTTCTCAAATGTATAAAACACACAATAAATCATATAAAATTAATAAAAATTTTCATACACAGACATAGTACTGTATAGGTAATTAATGACAAAGTATTCAAGGTCAATCTTGAATGCTTTGCAAAAATCTTTATGGATAGCTTTCTAAGGAAAACTGATTTTTGCTAAAGAAATGCAAGGAAGCTTATGAAATATGTATCAGAGAAGCTATTCTACAATAATCAAGACAAAAGTATAAATGTTCAGTAATTTTATCTACTCCAGCCTTGATAGTTGAAATTTGCACATAATTCAGAATTAACAATGATTCTTAATTTCTAATACTAATATTTAATTAATATTTCAGAATTTAATCTAATTGTAAAGAAACTCACATCTACACTATAAAAATTATACAAAACTACTTCCTTAGCTTTTTAAATAAAGCATATTACATCTTGCTCATGCTTTGATGTGATATTTAAATGTTTTGTACTGAGAGTATAACTTAACATGAATACTTGTTGTTAGTATCACTTTTCAAAATTCTGCTTATTTTGCTATCCCTTTCCACATTTGATATTACGCTGCCTCAAGTTATATTAAATATGAATAACATAACGAGAATTTAAAGCACATGTTTTTTTTTTTTTTTTTTTTTTTTTTTTTTTTTTTTTTTTCCAGTTTTGATTTGAAAATAAAACAATCTAAACTGAACTTTATATAATATTTATTGTTTAATTATGCATAGCTTTTAAAGCTTGGTCAGATAAATTACACTGTCACTGAAAAATGACTATTAAAATTGCAGCTAATAAGTCTTTTTTTTTTCTAACAAATAAAAAAAAGCATAAAAAATCCGACGAGGACAGCACATGACATTCCACCACTTCTATGTTTTAAATGACAATGAGCTTATCACTTTAATATCATAAAATATCACTTTAAGTTGTTGCTGTTTAAAACATTGAAATGGTTGAATCTTTGTAAATAAAATCTAATACTATGTTTACAAATTTTATGGCTAATGCTAATCATAAACTTATTTTTTAATTAGTTTGTTCTCCCAAACAACGGAAAATAGAACTACATGCGCTCACGCAAAAATTTTTTAGCAGCATATCTTTAGAATTCCTGATAAAGTGTTGTCATACAAATTTTTTTTCAGTCTTTTCTCAGTTCATGACATCAGTGTCCAGTTTTCTTAATAAGATGACAACTTTTTTATTTGTCCCTTTAGTTATATTTTTTAAACATTACTTTCTTTGCTCTCTCTTATGTGTTGTAACTACATAAAATTTAACAATAAAACATTCAAAAACAGTCTGTCTTTGGACTTCCTAATACAGCATTAAGTGTTACGTTTTTAGTCCAGCAAGGCAGAAAAAGAAAGACTTCAAGCAACTAAAAATGATTAAAGTGATTATATTTTTTATGACCGTAAGTGTTGTGGATTAATGCTTATAAGACAGGTGACCGAAAAAATAGCCAGAGCTGCAGAGTTTCAAGAAGACAGCTGTGGCCAAGATTTTAGCCAGAGAAATTCTTCCCCCCCCCTTTAGTGTGCGGAGAAAGTCACTGTGCAATAACCTTCCCTTGCCATTTGTTCGATGACCTTCTCACCTTTCAACTATGGGGTTTCATAAATTCCCTTTCATTTTCCCGCAGCAGTGCAATGTTAGCAGGCAAAAACTTTTAGTTGTGTTTCGCATGATTAACTTGCTCTCTAGAATTCTACATAAGTAACCTAACCATACTGATATGCATATGCGTGTGGTATAGACTTGTACAAATGAGGTGTGCATGCATATGCAACAGAAACACCAATGTGTAACAAGTATGTATGCTAATTGTATACATGTATGCAAACAGATATATGAATATTATATGTACATGGAGATAAAAGCATACACATGTATGTATGTGTAAATACCATGCATATATGATATATATATATACATATACATATATCTATGTGTATACATATATTTGTAAATCACGGATTTAAATTCAAATGTGATATTAATTTATATTATTTCCACATTTGACATAGAAATTTTATTCAGAAATACAAAGAGATGAAACATGACAATATTCCAGTTATTGATGATTTTACGGAAAGAGATTAATTCCCCTTATAAAGTCAGGACTTTCTATGAGATCATCAATAATTACTCTTATATATTTGATTCTAATACTAAATACATTAATAACCAAGAACAATATGATAAACTATCTAACTGTCACGTATATGACAAATAAATTTTCCCCTGACTCTGACTAGCATGGATTTCACTAAAAGAGCCCAAATTTTCCAAAACAGACATGAGAAAGAGAAGGTATTTTCATGATTTTAATGCCTCCAGTCAGTACCTTATAACCTAAATTTGTGTACTTTTAATATATTGCTATAAATATAGTATATATACAGTCAAACGTCGTTAATTTGGACATCCATAATCCGGACCTCAAAGCTACAAACTTTCTGCGCATGTGTCGCGTTAAAGCATGCGCATAAGACCTTTACGGCTGTGCATAAGCGTGTGCGCATGTGCATAACACGTTTACGCATGCGCGTTTAACATACAACGGATGGTATAAGCTAAAATTATCTAATTACCTATTTCAGTTAATGTTGCAGATTGCATTGTTCCTTAATCTTCGAATTGGATCTGGCTTATTATTTTTTGCAGACTGTTAGAACAATTTTATAAAAATTAAACTTGAACTTTCGATTCTGTCAAAAAGAGTTTCCAATTCTGGAGCTGCCAAAGGATCTACAAAGTGAAAGCATGTTTCAATGTCCATTAAACAAAAAGTGGAATTACTGCAAAAAATGGATAAAGGCCTATCCGTATCAAAATTACACGAGAAGTATGGCAATGGAAAGTCCACTATATATGACACAAGGAACTTTTGTAGAAGCATCTTAACAACTTTATTGAAAGAAATGTTTATACAGTAAACAAATAAATATTAATAATTTTTTGTAATTTTGATACCTTTAGTTCTAATTGTTCTTTATTTCATTAAATTACGATTTCATATTTTTAATTGTATAATTTCTGCATGCCATCTTACCAGATTTAAATTGATGATCTATAATTCCGAATCGCCGAAGTCCCGATGAGTCCGGATTACAGACTCTGCACTGTATATGCTTTTGGCGATGTTACCAAATGTATCCTGACATGAAACTATACATACTTTTTCAACAATGGAATAGCAAATACACATGAATAGTCACAATGTACAATTAAGGACCTTTCTTTATAGATATTACTTTATAAATTACAGTTTCATATTTTTAATTTTATAATTTCTGCATGCCATCTGGCCAGATTTAAATTGATGATCTATAATCCGGAAAAATCGGTAATCCAGAATCGCCGAAGTTCCGACGAGTCCGGATTAACGACTTTTGACTGTACATATATATAAGTTTCAGCTTTTTCCAGAATTTTTAATAATATTAATGCGAAAGTGCATAGTGAAAAATATCATACCATGCTAAATGAGTAAATGGAGAATCTACAGAACAAGCAACAACTTCTGTATTAATAGCATGAAACTCTTTGATGCGGTCACTGAAAGCAATAATCTCCGTTGGACAGACGAAAGTGCTGAAATGATTAAATGTAAACATTAACAATTTATGAAATGAAGCTTACTGTTTTTATAACAAAAGTACAAAAAATATATGAAAACATATAATAATTTTAAAAATATTAAATTCAGCATAATCATTTATTCCACTAATCTAGCATGTAACTTTTTAAAACATAGTCTTTGTACATAACAAAATACTAATTTTGGACTTGACAACAAATGGTAAGAAATGCAATAGGGGAATAAAAAATTACATATATGATTTTTATTCCAGTATCATTTGATGTACATGCCACACAATGCAGATATATAAACCATATTCTTTTAGACAACTTGGGGGGGGGTGTTATTTTTAGCAATGAAATTGAAGGCATTTATATACACTAGTTTGAAAATTAAAGGAACAATTGTAAAAAGGTGCTTCATCTTAATGTTATTGAGTAAATTTCCAATGAAAGGTCATTGGTTGGCAGCTCAAGGTCAACATTATCATGTAGTGTCAATGGGGTCAATGTGCAAATTTTTTCAACTGTTCTATTGGCATGTGTAGAAAAGAGAGCAAGAGTGCTTCAGATTCTAATTTCAAGGGCTATATGAGTAACTGGATAAAATTTTCAAGTGTAAGAGACAGAACATGTTGTTGAGAAGGCATCTGATTGATAGTAAGAAATGATTTGTAATCAGGAGAATGGAAGTAGGACAGACCCTGACACAGGTCTGTGAAACTGTAAAAGTTCTCAAAAGTGTAATCTAAAGAATCTATAAATGGTTTGATAACACTAGCGATATATGCAGAGATTTAAGTCAAAGATAAAAACGTATCACAAGAGACTCTAAGAACTGTTACTTAACAATAATTGCTGAAAAAGAATTCACTGTAGCTACAGGAACTCAGCTATTTGGATGTACTCTTTCATGCAGTAAAAGGCTCCACTAAGGAGGGTTGTATGCAAGGAAATACATAACTTATGTCCCTCTAACTCAAGACATGAAATGTGTCTGGTTGCAGTAGAACAGAGATCATCATAATTGGAATACCACACACTGAAGCCAAGTTCTTTTTACTGACAAGTCTCGTTTTCATTCGCAGAATGATTTCAGACATGTTTTAATTCCGAGGGAGCAGACCACATGCCATAAGCCTGAAAACATCATGAAACGATTGGATGTTAGAATCATGCTATGGGTGAGCATCATTTTGAATTACTACACTGACCTACACATTTTTATGCTGGAATATACAGAGATAAGATTTTTTATTGTCATATAAATTGTTTAAAGGTGCAAACAGTAATAACTTGGTACAATCAGATGATAATATTGTTGCGTAGATGAAGGGATCATACAAATGAACAGGCAAGTACTCAAGTCTAAACTTGACTTTTTATTAACTCGAACTGAATGAAGAACTACTTATATACAGCTGGTGAACATGCTGGAACATTCCACTCAAAATGTTTTGGAAGAATAAGAAGGAAATTTACATAAATAACATAACATTAACTAGAAGGAAATTTACATGAAAACCAATTATCAGGCATCTTCCCGTTGATGGGTTTTGAACCCGGGACCTTCAGGTTTTGAGTCCTGCGTCTTCTCCGCTAAGCTACGAAAGAGCTACAAAAAGAGCAATTTTCGAACAGTTTACATTTTCCCTTTCTTAGGAAGAAGCAGCATCCTGCTGCAATCTGGTCTAGCTTCTGATTACCTGGAAATATAATTGGCTTTCTTTCATCGTCTAGTTGTACTTTTCGTTTTGGATCAAGATAGGGCTTCAATCTCAATACACGAACGATGTCTTTTGAATTCCGTAATTTCCTATTTTGTTCCATACTTTCTACTTCGTATGTCATGTCAGAGAGCTGTCGTGTTATTGGATACGGTCCAAAGTAAAGTCTTAGGAGCTTTTCAGATAACCTAACCTTTCGTACTGGAATGAAGACCCAGACTAAGTCTCCAATGTTGCAGCTGACAGGTCGATGCCTCTTGTCGTATCGGTGCTTGTCTATGATCTGCACTTTAAGAATATGGAGTTTTGCAAGCTGTCTAGCTTCTTCAGCTCTAGTGATCAGATGTTGCACATAACTATCATCGGAACCTTTGATACTGTATGGAAAAATTACGTTGAGAGGAGTCTGGATATCTCTGCCATAATTGAGAAAGAATGGGCTGAATCCCGTTGTGTCTTGTTTGGCTGAATGGTCTGAGGGTGGTATGCAGTTGTCAGAAGATGAGATGTCTTGCATAGACGAATTACTTCTTTAACAATAGTGGATAGAAAGTTGCATCCTCAGTCACTAATAATTTATTTGGGTCCATCATGCTTCAGTACAATTTCTTCAACTATAAACTTGGCAATTTCGTGTCCTCAGTGGTTGGTATTGCCTTTGTGACTGTAAATCTGATAAGGTAATCTGTGCAAACTATAATCCACCGGTTCCCATGATTTCGAGTGTAACGGGAAAGTGTCCAAGTAGATCTATTCCAATTTTGGTAACACAGTGTGTCAGGAGGTTTTTATCGGATGAAGCTGTCCTGGTGGACATTGCTGCAGCTGTGACTTTTTCCGTCTAGTTTGGCATTCTTTAATTCTCGGAAGTGTGATACATACTGCATGTGCTTCCATATAGCCCTGGCCAATGGTACTTCCTCCTTATTTCGGTCGTACATTTTGGCAAAATCCAGAGATGGATCCAGCGGTTGGAGCATCATGAAGACTTCTTAGGAACCTCGCTACGAAGTTGCTTTGGTTACCACCAAGAGCCATTGCTGTCCTCATAGGACCATAGCTTCTTTTGCACAGTATACCAATTTCTTATTTGATAATTTTGATATGTGTCACCTCTTTTCATAGTTGTAATCATGGATTTTAATCGTTTGTCCTTCTGCTGCTCTTTCCTGTAATCTACGATTGCCGCAAAGAAAGGGATGTCTTCATTGTTCTCAATTATTGGTTTTATAAGAGGCTTTCTTGATAGTGAATCTGCATCAGAGTCTTTGTGACCATTCTTGTAAACGATATTTATGTTGTATTCCTGCAACCTGATAGCCCACCGTGCAAGTCTTCTGGATGGATCCTTAACATTGGCCAGCCAACATAAAGGGTGGTGATCTGTGACTACTGTAAAGGGTCTTCAGTAGAGATATGGCCTGAATTTACTAATTGGCCAAATGACGACAAGGCATTCTTTTTCGGTGGTGGAATAGTTCCTTTCAGCTGCAGTAAGGGACCTGGATGCATAGGCCATTGGTCTTTCTTCGTCATCCTGTACCTGAACCAGTACTGCACCAATGGCCATAGCCACTAGCATCAGAATGTATCCTGTTTTCCGCGCATGGGATAATTACAGAAACAAAAGCAAAGAATTACAGAAACAAACAATAGATAATATGCCTTAATGCATTGGTTAGCATAAGTTGAGTTTGGCAGCAGGAAATACTGGAATATAAGAAGTTGGATGACTTAAAGCATTATCAACGAACAGGTTAATAATGCTTTAAGTCATCATCAATTGGTTGAATTTGGTTCTAGTCTTTTAAATCAGCCAGGCAGTCCAAAGCATCATCGATGTGAGGTAATGGATAGACGTTTCTTTTAGTTACCTTGTTTAGTTTTCTGTAATCGACACAAAAACGCCATTCACAGTTTTTCTTCTTCACAAGCACGACTGGAGTTGACCCTGAACTGTCTGATGGTTGTATAATGTCTTCGTTTAGCATTCGTTGCCCTTCGTCTTTAATCACACGCCTCTCAGTGACTGACACACGTTATGGCCTTTGTTTGACTGGTGCACTGTCAACCTGTATGAATCTTATGCTTCACCACAGTGCATCGGGATTTTTTTTGCAATACTAATTTTTGTGTAAAAAATGCCACTAAATTAATCTAGTAGACTCAACAGCTCTCTTTCTCAGCATTGGTCAAATCAGTATCAAAAATTTCTTTTAAGTTTTCTTGAGATAACCTTTTCCTGGACCTATGTTCCTTGCAACCCTTTGGAGCCTGACCACTTAGAAAGCAAACAACGTTGTTTTTTTATGGTCGTTAAACAGCCTACATTCATCCCTTTCAGTATCAGTTGGGTTCGTCGAGAACAATTAGTTACCCATAATTTACCACAACCATCCTCTATAGTGACAATTGAAGCTGGTATCGATATTTTTTTCGCACATCAGAAATCTACTTCCAACAATTCATATTGTTGGAAGTAGAATTCAGGGCACATATTCGCCTTGTGGTGTTTGCTTCAATTACATAATCGGTTGCGGCAAACAAGGAGGGCTCTGACTTATTTATATATTCATTGTCTAATCGATAACAGCATTAGTGGCATGGAAAAAGTTCCACCCAAGTATAATTTGATGACTACATTCAGGAAACAAGAGGAATTCAAACGGCTTCCGAGTCCCATTCAAATCAACTTTTAATACACAGCATCCCGAGGCGGCTACAGGTTTACCACAAGCAGTTTTCAATACAGGTCCATTCTCAGTAAACACGGGAGCATTCAGCTTTCGACGTAACTCTTCGGATATGATGCAATAATCGGCACCAAATCAACAAGGGCTTTCACACACTGTCCGTTCACGGTGATAAAAGTGGTTTATTTATTAATTTATTTATTTTTTACTTGGCTGTGGTGTACGTCGGAGGATTTCCTTCAACTGTGGCCTCACTTCCTGTACAGGTTGCCTGAGCTAGTTTACCTCATTGGTTCGACGTGGGGAATGGCTGGAGCAGCGTACTAGTGACTGCAATTGAGAGAGTGTTGCGGATAAGGTGAACAGCTCCTTATTTGGGAAGAACAAGGTTGTGCATATTCGTCGTCGAAGCTGTATGTAGATTCACTATCCCTGCCCCATCAAGGGTTGGGCCATTTGCATTTTCAAATATCTGACGTCTCTCCATACAGTACCTCAGAACATGTCCTGGGCATCCGCAATGAAAACAGAGAGGCACATTATCGTCAGTTCTCCACAGATCTGTCCTACACTGTGGAGTAGTTCTCCGGTT